GTTTTTGTCTATCTTTTTTTTTTTGCGCACTAAGGGGAGTTCGTTTTTGTTGGTCGCATCAAACATGATGGGCTTTTTCTTTACTTTACCATAGTTATACCTTTTTTACTTTCTCGTATATACGAAGTATAGAGAAAGTATTGTAATCTTGCAAAAAAAAAAATCGAGATTTTTACAAATCTCGATGTTTTACACCTCACTAATACGGAAAAACATAATTTTGCAATCTTGTCGGTGTGTCTGTGAACACGATAACTTGAGTACCGTTACAGCTAGGTTGATGAAATTTCATATATAAGTATTTTATCAAAATCGTAAATCCGTATCAACTTTTGAAGCGATTTCCGATAACCGGAAGTGGTACTTTTTCTACTTTGAATTTTTCAAAAGCCTATAACTTGAGTACTATTTCAGATAGATAAATGAAATTTCACATGTAAGTAAAAGATCTAATTCTCTTCGTTCTGTCAAATTTTGAGTAATTTCCATTGACGGGAAGTACTAATGGAGACAAGCGAGTTGACGAGATTCCTTCCATAGTGTTGTTGACATGGAATAAAAACGTGCTTTTTAGATTTAGACCGTAAAAAAAAATAAAAAATAAAAACTTAAGCCTAAAATTAATTTAGAAATTTTATATTTTTAGAATAAATGCTATAAAAGTTGCAAATCCAGAGAACTTGAAAATAATTTGTTGAGTTTAAGGCTACATTTCTATTTATTTTCATCAAGCCTAAGTTATAACCGGATGTTTCACTTTCGTAAGACAAATATTGATTGGCTGTACAGTAACTTAGTGATCGATAACTATTTGTTTACAAAACTTTGCAGATCAAGTTTTTAAATAACAATGCAAATTTAAAACCCCATGACCTAGTTTTCTATTTTTAGCTTACAATGTGTACAATAAAATTTATGTCGGCCTATCCAATAGCAGGATGCCATTGTTTATGTCGCCATTACACGTGAAAACCAAATTGTTTTTGCTTTTTTTTAAATTTTTATTTAGTTACCGAAAATATTAAAAACATCAAATACATCCAATCTTTAGTAAAATCCGAAAAAAACCAGACAGACAGGATTTTATAACCATATTAATTGTAACTACGCCGTGCAAGATTTTTAAATGAATTTATACACCTCTCAAATACCTTTGAGACTTTTCTCGCTTGTGTCCATTTACGCTATTTCCGATTTCTCAAAAACGCATCTAAATTTATAAAGTACTAATAATATTGCGCACCATTATGTACATCTTTATTCGGCGTTCGCTTGGTGCGCAATACTTTTTTCTATGAGATTCTATTTTATTTTAAAAAGTTTAAGTATTTAAAATGGATTAAAAATCATAACTATATCCCGAGTTCCCATCCCCTGTTGTGTTATATAAGAATATTCGAGAAAGTTTAGGGGAGATCACTCCCGGTTTATTTTTTTTTCACAAACAGTTGCTATGCTTATATAAGAAAATACGATATATGAACATATTTAACGACTACAATGGCTTTTCCCGACGGGAATACAGTTTTTTTGTTACCCTCCAGGGTCGGTCTGCGATCGTTCGTCAATTTATTTAAATATATCTCATATAAGCAGAATTTCACTCGCGGTCATCTTTTAGCCCTGGTCGAGGGCTTTGAGTCTGACCAAGAGTTTTTCCATAAGGCCTAGTCATCTACAGAAGTGTATGCAAAACTTTAGCATGATGTCCTTTTTTAATTTCGCAAGGGCGGCGCCACGGGAGGCTGCGATTTTTCTCTATATACGGTTTATAAAATTTTGTTTTCACAACGTTCATCCGTGTACCATGAAACTTTGGGGAGATGATTAAATCACTCAATGGTAGGGTTCTGCAAAAAAATAAGCGATTTTTTTTCTCTATACACGGTATATAAAAAATAAAACTCGGATGCGGTTCATCCGAGTGCCATGAAACTTGAAGGAGTAGATGACAATACTCCGGAGAATATTTCTGCGAAAAGAAAACTAAAGTTTCTTAAGGGCGGCGCCATATAGGGTAAATTTTTTGTCAATACACGGTTTGGCGCCCAGAATTTTAGAGCGACTTTGTTGGCACTTGGCATCCGTTTATCGAGCGTCCTGCATAGCGAGTAAGGGGTACTACTATATTCAGCGGTAAAAATAACTTTGTAACGCGAGGAAATCCTTCTGTACAGTTTCGTCACATTGAGAAAGATGAAAAAATAACTTTTTGAATATGAGGAGCCTACTGTAGAGTTTCGTCACTTTGCGAATGATGCAATAAGCATCCATTATTAGACAATCCAGTCAGAAATTGAGATTGATCATCTAATAATAGACCATTAGTAACGCTAGCATATTGCATCAGTCACACTGATATTTAAAACACGTCAAATAATTTTTTTACGTGTTGAAGAAAAAAATCCTGTTCATTTTTGTCACTTTAGCGAATGACGAAATCTGCATCATTATTAACATGATGCTATTTGGCCGATGGCGCCTTTTAGTTTTAAGGAGCCAGGGGTCGTACGCCGCGCCTATGTGTGTTCTACTATATTATTTCGGTGAGTGATTAATGTACACTCAAGGTTTTCATGCGGTAGTGTAGGTAAACCCGTGTCCTGATATTTATGATCCAAGCGCAGCCATTGTTTACATTTAAATAACTCATTTTTTAGAAAAGAAGGTCACGCGTCTAAGAACATATAATTGATAACGCGTTGGTGAAATCCTTCTAATATATTTCGTCAAACTTTCTTCTATCCCCGCGGCAACGCGCGGGGGTCGGGTACGCTTGTCTATATATATATATATATATATATATATATATATATATATATATATATATATACATATATATATATATATATATATATATATATTTAAAGACCATAAAGTATAAAACTTAGTTTTCATAACAATATTAAATTTTTGAACAAATGTATATACACATGCCATTTTCAAAGTTGGACGATGGAGGATAATTGAGATCTACTGAAAAACACTTTAGCTATTAGAGCTGTTAATAAGCCGACTAGAAGTTATATTTAGTTTATGTTTTTTAACAAAAAAAAAAAGGATGACAATTTTGAAAATGCCTATAAAAATGTATATGTTACGGTCAATGCCCTCCCATTGACCGGTCAAAGTCCAAATCTTTACATGATTTCGGCCTTTGGCTGGCCAATCTGCAGACTGGCGATGGTGGACTGGCCAAAGTCCAAATTAGAAGATCATCTGGCTAGGGATGACCAGCTTTATTCCAAATTAGAAGATCATGAGAGGATTTACTTTTTTTTTAATAACATAGGGATCATGAAATAAAATAATAAAGTCTTGATTGATTATTCATTAAAGTAAATGACAGAAACATTCAAATTATTTTATTGTGCTATAGTCACAATCAATATAATCACTTGTCAGAACAAGGTGAACTTTTATGGCAATTAGAATTACATAGTAGCTTGTTATTTTTACACTTGCAGCGATTTTGTTGCATGTATGGCAACCTCCATTTCTTGTTCATTCTCAAGATCTTCCTCAGTAATTAAATTATCGAGAACCTCTCTTGGTAGATATGAAGTGCTAAATCCCACTTTTGCTTTGCATCCAAACAAGTCTTCGTTTGGAATTTGTTGGATTCCTTGATGATAAGAAAGGTTTTTCATAAATTGAATGAAGTTGAGACTCTCAGCCCTATGAGCTGATTCATTTGTCTGCATCCATGTCATCATCATCATGTCATCATTATGTTTTGAACATCGTGGTTGGCTTGGCCCATTCGACTGAACCTTGGCTTTGGTTATGATTTGGTTTTCCATGAACTAGTTTAAGTTCAGGCCACATGTTCTTTAGTTCAGAAATATTTTGACAGCCATCTGGTATGTCTGTCTCTTGGTCTGATGGCCCTTTTGGTCCATGTTGCATTGCATATAGAATGCTATACAAACAAGAGTCAACAAAACGTTACAATGAAACCGCACCCAGAATAATGAAAACGCTATTATAACTTAGTCTAGATAGGACATTGGTTAAGAGAATTGGCAAATGCGCACTTTGGCCGCACTTCATTCTTTGACCGTAACATATACATTGTCAAAAAATCAGATTATTTTCCAAATTCTTTTTTTTTAACATTTAAAATATTTAGTATTTTACGAAGCTTTTGTTTAGTATCCCACTAAAGGCTATTCGATTCTGCATATTCTCATTTATTTGTAGATATACTTTAAATGGCCCAAAAAAGCATGGGAGTTGAATGGGGTGGGGAGTGAAATTCGTTGCTTGACTGCAGTTGAAAAATCATTGCAAGCGAAAACAGCTTTTTTTTCTGCTGTTGACAAACCTAATAAAATGGATGGGATTTGTCCTGGCCACGCTGTCATGAATAATTTAAAATACCAGTGTTGTTAACCACCCAACAATGAAAAAGGAAACATTTTACTATGAGGTAGACTATGTGTGTATTCCAATTCATCCAGTTACTTGGAATCAGAGAGGGTGCCCAAGTTAGACCTAGAGGCAAAGTCTTCTTGAAGAACTAAAGACAGTAAGGATGTCTTGGAAAGTTATGGTTGAGACACCATGCTCCTCAAAGATTAAATAGTATTTAGTCAAGTAAGTCACAATAAATAATCAAAATTTTATTGTGCGTTTATACTTACATATAGACATTTATTTTAAAATTTTATTTGTATTTCCCATAACCCAAGCTGTGCCATGTTTATGCTGCTAATAAAAGTCAAAATTCAATAACTCTTTCTTTTTAGTTTGTGAGAGAAAGGTTACAAAAATTGTCAATGATTTATAAGAAATACGATTTCACTTGAACAAGCTTTCTGTTAAAATTAGAATAATGAAAACCACAATGATGGCTCTCTGATTCTTCATGTCTGAGCTATTATTAATTGTATCTGTTATAATAAGGGACAAAAAAGTCAATGTGTCCTCAGTCTAAGTATCATACTTACCCCATAAATCACATACAGTATTAAAAAAATGATTAAATTGAAACTAAC